AGACCCCCCCCCCAGCATCACCCCCCCCGCGTGCAGCATCCCGCTGCCGCAGTCTGTGGGGCGACGGCACTGGGGACGTGCCGGGGGGTTGGTCAGGGTGGTTTTTCACGAGCCCCAGCAGCATCCCGGGCAGGCTCGGTAATTCGGTGTCTTTGTGCATGGCAGAAAGGCAGAGGAGCATCCCTCCGTGCCTCCCACCGTTGGGACTGATCTCATGTCAGCCTGCCCACCGCATCGCTCCTGACTCGGGGCAAATCCTGCCCGGAGCCCATCCCACCCATGCCACGAGCATCTTGGGGGGGCTGCTGTTATATTCCCCGGGAAAGCAGCATCTCGCACACAGCCACCCACCGCCTCCTCCCGCACACGGGGCCCTGCTCCTGCGGATTAAATGCTCGGGGCCAGGAGGGCCAGCGGCCACGGGAGCATCGGCCGGGGCCCGTCAGCACGCCGGAGGTCCTGCCGCCCCATCCTGCTGCTGCCTGGCCGGCTTCTTCATTCTCTCACCCCGCAGCGATCCTCTGGGTCAGCCCTGCCCTGCAACGGCACCGCGGGGAGAGCGTGAGGTGCCAGGCAGGGCCAGAGCCGCAGGGACATATCAACCTCGAGCTAAGGGAGAGCGGGATTTGCTCTGGGGAGAGGCTGCTGGGATGCTGATGAAGGGAAAGCTGTGCTGCGGGGAGAGCCGCACGTCCGGCACGGTCCGGCTGTGCCGCAGGAGGGAAGAGTTTATAGGGTGAGGGTGCTGGCTGCTGCCAAAGTTAAACAAAATCCTGGCTAGTGCCTGTTTGAGAAATTTCTGGCTTTTTCTTTAGGTTTTTCTCTGCCGTGCATCAGCCCGGTGAGAGAAGCTTGCTTCTTCGGGGTGCCCGTGTGGCGGGGCCAGCGGGATGCCTCTGCGCCCTGCGCTTTGCGGATTCCCCTCACGAGCTCGTGCTGCTTGTTTTAGGAGAGGCTAAAATAATAAGCCTGGGGACCTGGAAAAAATGACCTTCTCTAGGTATGGGCTGAGCTGCTTGGAGCTGGTGTTAGACTTTGTGTCCTGCCGGTGGCTGAGATGATGGGTGGATGGGTGGGTGGATGGATGGATGTCCACCCCCAAGGCTGGCTGGGCTGATTCTGGTGGTGTTTTAAATGCAATTGGCACTTATCTCCAGCCAAGACCTTTCCGCTGCTGTAGCCCAGCGTGGCAGTTGTCTGTGGGAGCACAGAGGGAGCTTTGCTGGGAGCAGCGGCCCCGGGGCCAGAGCCTGCATTTGCCGGCGAAGGTGGGAGACAGACGGGGAGCTGCAAGGTCTGGGGCGAGGCGAGGTGTCCTGATGGGCAGCGAGAGCTGTTTGCCTAAAACCAGGGCCCCCATCACCGCAGTGCTTCCAGGGGAGGTGATTTTTATTCTGGGATGATAGCTGGTGGGGGCCTGGCACCCAAACGCTCGCCCCTGCCGAGCGCACGCCAGCCCCGCGTTCTGCTGAACGGGGCTTTGCCAGATGAATCATACGCGCTTTAACACGTATTACTATTTTTTTAACTTTTTTTTTTTTCTCCCTCTCTTCTATTTTTGAACCCGTAAGGGTGCACTTTGATTACGCTTTCTCAGCTTCTCACTCAGCCCTCGAGGCCGGGGCCCTGTTAATTTTAAGCAAAAGCTGAGATTTTCGCATCACCAGGTTGGGGGTGCCGGGGCAGCGGGGCAGGCAGGAGCAGCAGGCAGGGTTTTTTTCTGTCCCCCACGCGCTGTTTTTTTTCTGTGTGTCACCCTGGTTTCTCCCAGCCTTGCAGGCAGCCACGTAACACCCTGGTCGCTGCCTCCTGCTCCTAGCACGTGGAGTCCCCCATGGCCACGACGTGGCCAAATCCTGACCCAAAAGCGGTGTCGGGCTGGTTTCCTCACCCCACACTTCGAGTGTTGGAAGGGCCCTGAAATGTGGCAGG